ATATAATCTCAATGACAAACCCCTATCCCAAGTAGAAAAAAAATAATGTATTGATACCGTAATCTTATCAAACCTGCATACATATTCTACTTTATGAAGAGATTTAGATTTCGATATCCATGAGAAATAAGCTTAAACAAACATGAGAGTCAGGATAGTTACATGAATCTGACAAAGTATTTGAACCCAAATGATAGAAAATATTCTTGGTTAATTTTATATTATACTACCACTAACATGAGTAAAATAAAATTATACAGAATTTTGTAAAGAAGACCNAGAAGACTGATCTAGAAGAAAGTGAGCAAAAATCATTCACTAGTCGAACTTGGATGGTACTCTAACAACAACAGATATCTAAGCATCAAACAATAATTTTTAATTACAAACACAGAACAATCAAGAAAATAATCGTGTTCATCGCAATAAATATTCAACTAAAAAAAAAAGATTCAAGTGTTACTTTTTTGCGAAGATTTCAGAATAAAGTAAAAGCTGCAATCTATTTGCAGAGACTTAAGAACAGCAAGGTGGCGTAGGCCGCGGATTCGAAGGCAAACAAAAGTGATGGACTTTACCCAAACTCACAACTATCAAACACAGATCAAAACCAACAGCAACATCAGTGTAGCAACCCAGAAGACACCTTGAAACTCGACAGTTTTTTTAAATAAGAAAGAACTACACACTAACTTCAAACTTTTTATATTTTTCTGGAAGATTTTTGCTCTTAGTTTCAGCCTTCTTTAGATTTTTCTTCCCCCTTTCGTGTGTGTTTGTGAGTGTATGTGAGTGAGGTCAAAATTTGTGGGTGGAGGAGGAAGAAGGTGAGATAGGCGGCTAGGTTGAAGAAGGTTGCTCCCCCTCTTTGTTTTGGTGTAGAAGAGAGATCTCGTTCTTGGAGGAAGTTTGGTGTGCTTTAATTTGGGGTATGGGGTTTGTGAGTGGGGGACAAAGTGTGGGGGACAAAGCATGTGGGACAAGCATGGGGGACAAGTATGGGGGGACAAGCATGGGGGATAAAAAAAAGTTGAGTGGAGATACGCATGGGAAGCGGGAAATATTCAAGCACGGTCAAAAATTAGGTGCTCACAAATTGATTTTATTATGTTGCCGTATTAATTTTCCGTGTAAATTATTGTATTGTGTGAGTTATTATTTTAGGGAGATAAGGGTGGCATTTCAACGTTGATATTATGTGGGTATAAGGGTGCATTTCACTGTTGTTGTGTTTGTTGGAATATTGTCTGGGCGAAGCGATAAGGGTGGTTATAGGAGCGATAAGGATGGCTATTGATATTGTTTGGGCGGAGCGATAAGGGTGGCTATAGGAGTGATAAGGGTGGCAATAGGAGCGATAATAGTGGCTATTGTCAGGGACGACATGTGATGATGTGGGGTTGTGGTGTGATGTTGTGATTTTCTTGTGTTTATTTTATACCTTGTGCAATTTGTCTTGTTGTTGGTAAATTGATAACAATTTGATTTATGTTGAAATTGAGAGCGTGTGGCTATTGCCACGCGAATTATAAATTAAAATGTGTGCACGAGGTGCCGTGAGTAAATAATGAGGATATTTGGCACGTGAGTGAAATATGGACACGAGGTGTTGTGATGAAGTGATAATGATATTTGGCACGTGAGTTGTTCGTGCGGTTGTGATATGAAATGAGGGCATGAGGTGACGGAAAAATATGATGATTTAATTATGGGCACGAGAAGCCATGGAAACATAAAAAATGGACTGAGACCCGTGTTTACAAAAAATATGAAAATGGGTTGAGACGCATATTTTTATGATTTTAAAATGAGGTGTCACATGGTGACTCTTTAATTGAAAGAATTATATTCAAAATATTTATTTAGAAGGATTTTTATTCAAAAAGAATTGTATTTGAAAGATATTTATTCGACGAAATTATATTTGAAAAAGAGTTTTATTCGTAAGAATTATATGTGAAAGATATTTAATTGAAGAACTTGATTTAACTGGGTATAATTATATTTATTAATTATTGAGCGATATTGAATGGTGATTTTATTGTCTTACTGTGCATATCATTGGTTGTTTGATGTTTCCTTGATGTTATTTGTTTTCTATTATTTTGTATATTATATTGCACAGGTTATTAGACTAGTGAGTGCCTTGACTGTACCTCGTCTCTACTCCATTGAGGCTAGTCTTGATACTTACTGGGTACCGACTGTGGTGTACTCATACTACACTTCTACATATTTTTATGCAGAACCAGGTATTGGAGATATCGGACTTGAGCAGAGTTAAAGCGGGATCATAAGGATTCAAGGTAGAGCTGCTTAGTCGTCGCAGTCCCTTGGAGTCTTTTTAAAGTAAAAGCACTACAAATAATTGATTGTCATGATTTCGGGTTCGCTTGCAAAGTGCGATTATGATAAATTAATAAATTTTGTTTTCAATCATGCATTCGCTTGCGTAGCATGGTTATAACAATGTAATATTATCCAAAAATATTCTTTAATAAATCTAATGATCAAGAAATAAAAGCGGTTAGGTAAAAGCATGAGAATCTTATAATTCACGGTTTATCCAAAATTAATTCAAGCCAAATGTAGTCAATAAAGCGACCGTGCTAGAACCATATGACTCGGGGAATGCCTTACACCTTCTCCTCGGTCAACAGAATTTCTTACCCAGACTTTATTTTCGCAGAACAATAATAATATAGTCAAACCTTCCTTTGACTAGGGATTCAAATAAAAGGTGACTTGGAACACCCAAAAACTCAATTCCAAGTGGCGACTCTGTAAATAAAATAATCCCTATTTCAAAATTGTCACTTTAATTGGAAAAACTCTTTAACCCACAATCCATAACAGATACATGTCTTTTTTGGGGTAAAAAGGGGTGTGACAGCTTTGGCGACTCTATTGGGGATTCTCAAGAATTCGAGCTTGTATATTGACTTTGTTTGGCTTTATTAATTTTTGTATATATTGTGATTTATTTGGGCCTAATGTGTTACTTGTCTACTTTTTTTCGTTTTGATATTGTTGAACTGTACATATAAATTGTATCCTCTCGCACCCCTCTGAGTCTTCTTATAGTTAGTTATGTTGTGTTTGCCTACAAACATCACAAAATTTCTGTCTTGAGATAAAGCCAGTTAGCCTACCAACTTCTGGTGAAGGATTTAGTCACACATGCTTAGGCGGGAGAGCTGTTAGCTAGCCAGTGCTATTCTACTACTGGTGACGCTTGACACTCCTCGGCTTGGGTTGTCCGCCAGGGTAAGCCTGGTCTAGATACTATCTCCTTTAGGATTTAAAAACTTAGAAGAACAAGCCACAAGCAACAAATATCCCTAGTAGGCTACGCTTTATTTGCATCATGTGCATTTGACTTAGCAGCGTTCGACACAAGGGTTGAGTTCTGTTTTAGGACAGGTACCTTGTTGAAACCATTATGTCATGTTATGTGCTACTTGTTGCATTATTTGGGAGGCTGGCATGTCGACCGACTTTAGCATAAATCAGTTGAACAAACATAGAAAAAATGATGTGGTCTAGTGCATACGGTTTTTTAAAGATTAATTTTTCAAAAAAATCAAAAAAAAGAATATAGTCAGTTTTTACCGAACTACGCGGGTTTGATTCTCACCGGATGTGAGATACGTAGGCAAACCTCATCGGTTCCGGCCCCAATTTTCAAAAAAATAAAAAAAATAAAAAAATAAAATTCAAAAATATTTTCCTTTTCCTTAATTCCCTATTTACAATTCTTTCCTTAGAAAATCAAAAAAAAAAAAAAATACTAAATCCAAAAATATTTTTTTATATAGTCCCACAGTTTAGCTTTTATTTATTTATATTCTTTTATAGAGTCAAAACCCGACAAATCAGAATTTTTGTGTGTCAATAATATGTTTGATCAAAGCCTAACCCCGTATCTGGGTAGACAGGTATACCATGAGTTGGGAAAGAGGTAAGTCTGAAAAGAGGCCCTAATCAGAAGGGATACCAGATTTTCTCATTGTCGATCAGATACCACAGTTGTTGTGGGATTGGTGGAGAGACTTTAAGGAATATGAGCGAAACCAGATAAAGAAATACTTGAGATATATGGTTCACATGATTACGATAAAGCCCAGGAGGGATGTGATTGAAGCTTTGATTCCGCACTGGGATCCTGAAAATAATGTGTTCCGTTTTATCGACTGTGAAATGACTCCGACCTTGGAGGAAATCGCCCATTTCCAGGGGTGGAGCCGCAATCTTCGCCGCCAAAGGCCCATAGTACCAAAAAATGTGAACGAGGGTAGGTTTCTGAAGCTTTTGAACATAAACTACGGACAATATGAAGGTCTAAGAGGCAAATGGGTTAAGTTGGGCTTTTTGTTTCAGTTGTATGGTCTAGAATGCAATTTCGAAAGGAATGTGGAAAATTGAAATCAAAGGAAGATAAGGAAACATGGAAGGTACATAGAAGGTTTGCATTTATGGTCACTTTTTTGGGGCGTGTAGTTTTCCCGAAAAGAGAGGGACGCATTGACATCTGCTTGGCAGGTGTAGTTGAGGCTCTGACCTCAGAAGGGGGTGATTATACTTTGGTCCCTATGATTCTTTCTTGCATTTTCCGTGCTTTAACTAGATGTAAAATGGGCGCGCAAAACTTTGATGGCTGCAACATTTTGTTACAGATATGGTTTTTGGAGCATTTCTATCGTCATCCTACGATCACTAATTTTAGTGAGCTATGGCCCAATCATACTTATGATCACCAGAAAAGAATTGACGAATGTGACTTACCAGAGGGGATTGGCGCCTGGAAAGAACTACTTCTTACTCTGTCTGCCAAAGGGATCACTTGGAACTACGATTGGTTCTCCTCTAAAGAGGTCATTTGTGAGTCTGCATACCATTCTTATTTGGTACTAATAGGATTGGATAGTGTTCAGTCTTATGCTCCACTTCGGGTAATGCGCCAATTTGCACGACTATAGGAGGTGCCACCAACACGAGATATGAGCAAGTTCTGTTATGATTTCGGTAAAGATCAACCTCATGACGAAGAAGAAATTATGAAAATTTGGTATGCAAGTAAAGTCTCGGAGTTGAATGATATGGTAGAAGACCGAGATCATGGAGATGTGAGCCCCAAATATATTACCTGGTTGCATGACCCTTCATCGCTTAGAGATAGGCCTGAAGGATCCAACAGGAGGAGAAATGATCAAAGAGCTATAAAAAGGTTAAAAGAGGAATTTGAGCATTCCCGGATGACCATATCTAAACAACAAACCCAACTGCAAGCTGGAGTCGCTCAGATTTGTTTAAATATTGAGAAAGATTATCAATCGGCCTTACGGGGCATGGATAAAGATCTAAAGCATGCTAAAAATGAGGCGGCCCGCTTAGAAGAAGAATTGGCAAGCACTATTGGTTTAGTTAGAAGAGTTGAGGCAAATAACAATGTTGAAATGCATAAGCTGCAAGAAGACTTGAGTATCATTGAAAAGGATGCGCACCAGCAACAATTGGAGTTTGATCAGCAGAGAGAGGAGTTTGAAAGAGAAAAGGCCCATTGGATACGCTCAAAGGGTCAGTTTCTTGCACAATTGGAAGAAATAAAAAGGCATAAGGGAGGTCATCAACATGCAGATTTTGAGGTAGAGCGGCGTCAGTGGATGATTGAGAGAGCTGTGCTAAATCGCCGTATTGAAGAATACGAGGGACGCGAGACTGAGATGGGTAACGCCCTCAACACTACCCAGATATGGTTGCAGAATTGTCACGTGAATACGGGGCAAGCTAGAGATCAAGTACTTCAATTGGCAGAGAAAGCAACATATATTCATGACGATCATCGTCATCTAAACAATGAGAAAGTTGGTCAACAGGCACGTGCCCTCGTTCCACAATTGCCGGGAGTGTTTCAGAATTTGTACGAGATGTTGGGGGGAGAGTGGAGGCCAAGGGATGCAGACCATTGATGATATCAGTTTAAGAAAGAATGCCATTGAAGATTAAAGTTTTAGTGCAGTCAATTAGTTTTTAGTTTCATTTTGCATTTGTCGTATTTTTAATTTTATATTTGTCGCATTTTCAGTCATATTTATGTCTTCAGAGTCAAATTGAAAAAAAGAAAAACAAAATCAAAATTGTTATTATTTCCCCCTGAACTACGTAATGATCTGATTCATGCGGCAACATGATACGTAGGCAACCCACAAAAGGTTCGATCAAAATATTTTTAAATGATTCTAAAATGAGGGATCAAAATGAGGCATGAGTAAAAATAAAAATAAAAATAAAAATAATAAAAAAAAAAATGAGAAGAAAATAAGTGCGTCAATAACAAGCAACCTCATAAGCTGGAATGAAACATGAAGCCTCCAAAAGCATGCTAGAAATAGTGACAATGATAGGAGCATGGCACATTATGTGTGATTCATATCTATAAAATGCTTAACCCTAACACGTTTGCTGTCTCTTACGTAGAAAAGCTTAAGGTGGTTGGTTTGTGGTGAAACTTGCAACACACCATTACTTCACTAGATCTAAGGGAGCAGTAGTAATGGCCAACGATGATGAGATCGAGCTGATCACTGACGACCCCCAGGGTCAATCAGTTGAACAAGAGTCGGAGGAAATAAGAAAATTGAGACAGCAATTGTCTGATGTATATCAAGCTTGGGTGTCTGGTCAGCCTCCACCCCGTGGTCCCTCAGAGGGAACTTCCACCGTACCCCTGGCTACTCAACCACCGCTCCATGCAACGAGCGACCACATCCTACCACCAGGGTATGTGCCAAACTACAGCCTCCACGTTGCTCCTGGTACCTCTAATGTGCGACCTCCAGTCGCACCGGTCAGGAACACTCCTCTAGTCGTGTCTGGCGCACCGGCATACATAATCCCGCCTCCACCTCCTGTGATGAGGCCAATCAACGAGCCGCCATCTAATGCTTATGATGGCCAATACTACTCTCCAAATATGGCTTTCGGGTTCTCGGCTCCATATAATCAGACTCCTCAGTACGAGTCACCAGTGGAAAACAAAAAGCTTGCCAAGACGGTTGAGCCGGATGAGATGGCCAGGAAAATGAAAAGTCTTGAATAGAATATAAAGAACATACAGGGACTAGGGGGTCACAAAAGTGTTTCGTTCAGTGATCTATGCATGTTCCCTCACATCCATTTGCCACCAGGGTTCAAGACCCCAAAATTCGAGAAGTATGATGGACACGGCGACCCTATCGCCCATTTGAAAAGGTACTGCAACCAGCTGAGGGGTGCAAGTGGAAAAGAAGAATTACTAATGGCTTATTTTGGGGAAAGTCTTGTGGGGGTAGCCTCCGAATGGTTCATTGACCAAGATA